TAAGAAAAAATATGTATTTTACTAATTATAATTAGTAAAAAATTTAAGCGTTGCATTATTTTTGATTGCCACTATATTTAAAATATAGATTTATAATAATTTTATTAAATTTAAGATTTTAAAAAATATATTTTTAATTTAATTATATATAAAAAGAAATAATAAAAAATATTATAAAAAAACTTAATATTATTATTAATAATATATTTTTTATTAATTAAACTCTTAATATTTTTATTATTTAATTATTATATTTTATTAATTCTTCAAAGAAAACAATAATAATAATTTAATAAAAAATAAAATTAAAAAGATATTTGAATATTAAAAAAATATTTATTATTTTTTAATTTTTAATATAATAAAAAAAAATAAAAAGAATTTTTAAATTAAGTTAATTAACAAAAAATACTTATTTATACTAGTTATTTTAATATTAAATAAATATTTATTTTTTAATATTAATAATTAGATAATTTTAAAATAAATTTATCTTAATTCAAAAATTATTTTTAAAAGAAATAAAAATTTATTATTTTTATATATTTAAAATATCTATTTTATATATAATATTAAATATTTATAATAATTAATATTATAATTTATATTAATATATAATAGTTTTTTATTACATAAATTTATTAATATCTAAATCAGATTTGTTTATTTTATAAAAAGTTATTATATTTACATTTAAATATAAATACTAAAAGTAAAATAGAGATAAATAGATAAATATGCTATTTTATTATTATTAAATCAAATATAATTCTAAAAAAGTCATATTTATTAATATTAACAAATTAAATAAATTAAAATTTTAGATAACTTAACTATAATTTAGTAAACTAATTTGTAATTGAATGAATAATTCAGAAGTTAAATTTATAATAGATATAATCTCTATTTATAAACTTTATTTTAATATAAAAATAAAATTATTTCTTAATAAAATTATAATCTTTAATATAAAAAGAAATTTTAATATTTATTATATTTTATTAATAAAATTGATTCTCTAATTTTATAATTTTTTAGCCATTATTATCTTTATTATGATTAATTATTTTCACTAAATGATTAATGCTTTTGTTTTACTAGAACATTTAGAAAATTCAAATTTATAATATATGTATATTATTTTTACTTGATTAGCAGTGCTTAATCTTTTAACAATTTATCTTTTAATTCACTTTGGATATATAAATGTATTAGTTATTTCAGTTATTATAATTATAATTGTTTTAACTTATGCTGAAGATTATAATTATTACTTAATATATATATATATAATATATCTAAAAGAGTGAATTCAATATAACCATTATGAAAACTTTTGATTATAGTTCAATTAGAATATATAATAAATAAAAATATTTATTTTAAATAATAGATAAAAGAAAAAAATTATAATCTGAAATTATAACTACTATACAAAGATACTCTTGATATAACGACCCTTCAATATAACGAAGTCTAATTAAAATCGCGATATAATGAACTCGAGTTCAGGAACAATTTATTATAAACCATATAATAATTCCGCTCGATATAATGTATAATGAAGTTTTTGAAATTTTTACATATAGACCCGACTACTTCGTTATATCAAGAGTGGCATTGCAATTGATACATAACATAGTTACGTTATAATCATTTTGATCACTGGATCTCAAATTATGAAGCCAAAGAAATTTATGTTACATTATTAACAATGCCAAGTGACAAAACTGTAATCTTAATAATTTTTCTCGTTAATTTTGAGTATTTTTAACAAGAAAAATAAAATTATATTATATCGGATTATTATTTTACAATCAAACTATCATTAATTGTAAGCATTTCAATCTTTGAATTAGTAATAGACTATTAACAATTCCCTTAAGAAAGCTTAATTTGCGCAGCAAAAAACATCAGCATGGATGATTAACAATCACAATAACTAATGTGTGTGGTCACTAAATTTCTTCATTATATATAAAGGTTTTGTATAGAAAATTATGTAGGCTTGTGCGTTTTTATTAAATGAAATTCATAGATTCACTTTATCAATTTATAGCTTTGTATTTGCATGATATTGATGTTTATATATAAAGATATAAAAACGCGATTATCGATTTATCTAATCTTCCCTCGATCGACCTAAAATTCCGCCCAATAAACCTATATTTGGCGTGGCACCAGGCTTTCGGCCGACTAATTCAGATAGACGATCAAGAGGAATTCGTTCATCGATTGCGTATAAACGTTCAAGCAAATCTGCCAAAACATCCAAATAAATACGAAGTACGTCAATTCCGAGTCTAGGCCTAGGTCTTTCGTGATAAATTTCTCGATGTCGAATTTCATGGATAGGAATGAATCGATTTTGTCTTTCCTCATCCGGAATTTCAGGCTCTTCGGTAGGTTCATCTTCTTGTAAGTCAAATTCAACTGGATCGTATAGTGCGGCTTCAGTCAGGATAGTAGCAGGTTTGTTTGGATTGTGTGTCAATAAAGTGCTTTGCAGGTAATTTTTGTTCAAGTTTTCGTTAGTAAGTGCATATGCTGGAATTGCATTAATTTCTCGAGTATAAAGACAAAAGATTAAGGTGATGACCAAAGTAAAACTAGTTAAGTTCATTTTAATTCTTCGATTTGTTTGTTCAGTGATAATTCTCTTTTAAACCTTTTTAGGTTCATAGTAAGTGACTCTATATATATATATATGTATGTATAAAATATAATTAACAATTAAATAGATTAAATCATTTTGCCAATCCATGTATTTCCATAGATTACATGATTAAATTTTAGTTAAATATTCTTATGTTTCACGTAGGGAGGTTAAATAATGTGTTCAATCCTAGGACCCAGAGGGTCCATCCTGGACTTATTTAAAGAATGGTGTTGTCACACTCAATTCAGAAGTTAGGTTGACTAACGACTTTAGATGTAACAAGGGTCGACGTAGGTTCACTGGGGTTCTAAAGGTCTCCTGTGCGGATCTTCCCCAACATCCTGACACTATCTTCCCGACAGTCCACCTTCCCGACAATCCAACATCCCGATAATCCAACATCCCGAAATTTAACCTCCCGACAATCTAACATCTCGACATACCTAACTTCAACTTCCCGACAAAGCCAAACTTCCCGACAAACTAGTTAATTCTGGTTTCGACCACTAGCATTTATTATCAAATGTAAAATGATGTCGGTATGTCGGGAAGTTGACTTTGTCGGGATGTTAAGTTGTCGGAATATTGGATTTCGGGAAGTTAGGTTGTCGGGAAGTTAGATTGTCGGGATGTTGGAATTTCAGGAAGTTAGGTTGTCGGAATGTTGGTGCATCGGGAAGATGAGCGTCAGGACGTTGGGCGGCACCCCTCCCGTGTAAAGTTTTTCACGGAGATTGTGCATCAAGGGCAAAGGTAAGGTCCAAATTAATAATTCAAATTAAAGATTTACTAATACAATTAAAGAATATCCAACAAAAATGACAAATTGTATAACTATTCTAAAAAATATTAGGTATCCACAACAAAAATGATAAAAATTTGATATCCGAAGCAATAAAATAATAATAAAGTCAATATCAAAACAATATCAATAGCAAAACAATAAAAAAGCAATATCAAAACAGTAAAATTAAAATCAGAAGAATCAAATACAATGCATCAACTTTGTATAACTAAAGTAGTAAAGCCTTCAGTTGTTAAGCACAAAGAGAATTAAAGCTGTCAATTTTTGTTTAGATACAAAAAACATAAAAGCTGATGCGTAATTAAAATAATTTTATTAATTATTTTTCTTCAACTCACACATTTGTCTCTCAGATCTTTGAGAGTTATTCTATATATACAGTTTTCATTATTACATAACTATCTAAATTAATTATAAATTTTACAGATTATTAGAACACAAAAAGAAAAAAATAAAATAGCGTAATGAAAATGTAAAAATTATATAGTGATAATCATAATTAATGCAATAAAAAAAAATTTATCAAATTGAAATATTTTATAAAAATTATAATATATCCTATTTGTTTTAATATATTAAAATCTTAATATATAGTTATTATTATTTGCAATTTTTAGATAAATGCAAAATTAGAACCAAACTTTTATTGTATTATTTATAATCATCTTATACAAGATCAGATAGTTATAATCATATAACATAAATATTATATAAAAAATATATATTATTTATATATTATATATTATAACTTTTTAAATAATAAATTAAAATACAAATATATTATATAACTACAGAAAAGTATATACAAATTCTTGCTCTTCAAAATAAATATATAATAAAATAAATAGTAAAGTCAAAAAAATATTAGTTTCTTAACAGTTTCTTATATTAATAAAAAATAATATTTTCTTGAAATACAGTCAGATAGATCTCTCTAAATACAAACTTTCTAAATAAAATATCTTTTTAAATATAATAATTATACTCAGTTCTATTATAAAACTTATAAATAAATATATTTTATATTTTGTAAGTGCATATTATTTTTTAGCTAGTTATAGATTTCATCTATATATATTTCTTTTCATATGTATAAGTCACATAATAATAGTCAATTAAATTTTAATAAAAAATAATAATAATAACAAAAAAAATTTGATATAAAATTTAAATATGTATGTAAGATTATTTTGTTAATAGTTGTAAACAAGATAAAATGCGATATGAATAAGTTTTAATTTTATAACTTATGAT